CAATGACGTGCAGTTTAGGTGGATTGGCCATGCTAAATTGCCCATAGTGTCCAGGGCCGTATAGGCTAGGTGGATTAGCCATGGGAAATGCAGGGTTACAGGGATGGGCGAGGTGGGATCTGGATGGGATGCTCTTTCGAGGCTCTTAATGGGCTGAATGGCTTCTATCTGCATTGTAGGGATCCTAAGAACTGCCAGCACCCAATGTCTAATTGTTGCAAACTTAATAGGCAATAGTGCGTTTAAAAATAATAACTAATAGCCAAAAAATGGATGCTGTGATAATCTGACCACAGATTGAGTGAAGTGAAATCAGGGTGAGATTACCATAACTCGCCTGCAGTAAAATCCCCATTCACCCAAAGACAATCATCCCAACCAGTCGTCAGAATCAAAAAATTTGCAATTTATTTAATTCACATAATTATGATAATTTCATGGATTGGGCTATTAAGTGCTTACCTGCCCAATAGCTACCTTGGAGAAATAATGAGCTGACTCAGGAAGATACAAACGGACCTATTTAAAAACCGAAAAAAAACTGCGATGGCTGTAAATTAGGAACAAAAACTGAAGTTGCTGGAAAAGCTCAGCGGGTCTGGAAGCATCTATGCAGAAAAATCAGAGTTAACGTTTTGGGCCTGGTGACCCTTCCTCAGAATGAACCTATATCTACAGCTACTTACATTAATGCAGCAAAGCAGAGACAATGGGAAAAAAATTTGTACACAAGAACTGAAAGTCTCTCTCTCTCCCCCCTTTCCTCAGTCTGTCTCTCTCACTATACCTCAAAATTCAGTATTCTATTCCGGCACAGCCACTAAGCACTGAAAATTCACAATCTGCAAATTTCGCCACAGCTGAAGAAACAAGGGAACTCAACAGTCAACACTCACCCTCATATTGCAAAGAATTTAAGAAGTTTAAATATCAACATTCACTTGTATAGATATCCTCCCCTTCCTTTTAAGTTTATTTCCTGCTGTTTGTGTATGTCAGATGTTGCGTTTGTATTTCCTTTTCTGGTAGTATGTAATAAAATTCCTCCTTTTTTTCAATTCAGGAAAACTTTGCAATTTGGTTCCTTGGATCTAATCTCATTAATCACCCTTCAATTGAGGTGTAATTGCCACTTAATCAAGATAAGTGGTGTGACCAGAGCGGGGAGCCAACCCACCTTCCATGGGTTTGCTCAAACTATAAAAAATAACAACTGAATGACGTCAGCTCATCGCAAGTGAAAAACTTTAGCACTGAGTTTCTTGGGCATCATCTAACTTCACCACACAGGAGGAGGCTACTTGACTCATTCAGCCTGTGTCAACTCACTATTCAGTTTAGCCTCCTCAATAATTTTCTCAGGTCCCTAAAAGTTAATATCATTCAAGTACATGCTCAATTGCCTCTTGAAATATCTCATAGAGCTATAGAGTCCTACGGCATGGAGACAGGCCCTTTGGCCCAAACATGTCCATACCAAACAAAATGTCCATCCACACTAAACCCATTTCCCTGCACTTGGCCCATATCCTTCTCATCCTTTCCTATCCATGTATTCGTCCAAATGCCTTTTAAATGTTGTTAATGTACCCACCTCAACCACTTCCGCTGGCAGCTCATTCTATATGCACACTTCCCTCTGTGTAAAAAGTTGCCCCTCAGGTTCCCATGTATTCTTTCCCCTCTTACCTTCAACTGAGGCCTTCTAGTCCTCGATTCTCTGACCCTGGGAAAAAGACTGAGTGCATGCATCCTATCCATGCCTCTCAAATCTTATACACTTCCATAACATCCCCACTCAGTCTCCTACGCTCTAAAGAAAAAGGTCCTACCTTGAACAACCTCTCCCATAACTCAGTTCCACGAGTCCTGGCAATATCCTTGTAAATTTCTTCTGCACTCTTTCCAGTTTAACAACATCCTTCCTATAGCAAGGTGGCCAAAACTGAACACAATATTCCAAGTGCAGCCTTACCAAAATCCTATAGACCTGCAACATAACTTCCCAATTTCTATACTGAATGCCCTGGCTGATGAAGGCCAGTGTGCCAAAAGCCTTCTTCACTGCCCTGTCTACGTGTAACTCAACTTTCAGAGAACTGTGCACCTGAACTCCAAAGTCCCTCTGTTCCACTACACTCCTTAAGGCCCTACCATGCAGCATGGAACTCCTACCTTGATTTGACTTTCCAAAATGCAACACCTCACACTTGTCTATATTAAACTCCATTTGCCATTTCTCAGCCCACTTCCTCAGCTTACCAAGATCCTGCTGCAATTTCTGATAACCTTCCTCATTGTCCACGACACCACCTATTTTAATGTCATCTTATTAATCTTATTAATCATGCCTTGCACATTCTCATCCAAAACGTTGACATAGATAACAGCAATAAGCCCTGCACCGACCCCTGATGCACACTACTAGTCGCAGGCCTCCAGTCCGTCAAGCATCCTTCCACTATTACTCTCGGCTTCCTACCATCATGTCAATTGTGTATCCAGTTTGCCAGCTCCCACTGGATTCCATGCAATCTAACCTTCCAGAGCAGTCTACAATGTGGAATCTCATGGAATCTGTGTCTACCTTTTCAGGCAGATTTGAACAATCCTCCCTACCTCTTTACCCTCTTTTTCTTCTTTTTCTCACTCTTCAATTGCTCTTGCCCTTCCACATCTATGTGTAGAGTGAGAGAAGTTCTCTGATGAGGGTGGAGTTGTACAGCATGCAGCAGACCATGAATGTAACCTGAGAACTGCTGTGCACAGATGTGTTGTGCAGGATTCATGAAGAACGATTCAGACAGCAACAGCATGGATCCTGCGCAGCAACACAATCCTTCTGGGTGGCAGCATGACTTTCCTAGTCTACACATTGTACATGTGCGCATGGGCCACACGTTGGAATCATCATTCATGTCACGAGAAGATGGTATCTTGTAACCCAGCAGCCAGCTTTTGACTTCCTGTGATGGGTACTATAGCAGTTGGCATAGTGGAGTGCCAGAGATTGAAGGCATCAATGACAGCTACTCTGACAGTTTGACACCAGACATCAAGTGGCATGATTTCATGGAACCATAGAACAATTACAGCACTGTATGTTCTGTGTCTATTCTGCGTGGGCAACACACCAAGGCATAATCCTCTGGCAATTCCCAGGAGCTTTGCAATTTTTTTTTATTAATGACAAATAATTTAAAAATCTCAAATGAATTTGCTTCCATCCTGTTCTTAAGGTAGAGCATTCCCTTCTAATTAGTTGTTATGTAAAACACCTTTTGCTTGTGTCATTGTGGTTTCTTTCACCAGTCATCTTCACTCTGTGTCCTCTGGTAGTCCACAAGCAATGAGAACAGTTTCTATCTATACTTTCTGTTCATGCCCTTCATGATTCAATCGTCTCTTCACAGAACATCCCCAGCTTCTGTAATCCATATATATATGAAGGCTCCTCAATCTTGGGCCCATGATCCCAAATATTCTCTGCAGCCACTCTTCAGGTTTTCACATCGTCTCTCAAGTGTAGGGAACAAAACTGGACACAACACTCTGGTTGACGCAGAACCAGACATTCATCATTACATCGCTTTCTCAACTATACCTGCCATTTTGAAGGATTTGAACAAACATGGGCCTGTTCTGCTCGTGCATCCTCTATTCCATTGTACCCTTTATTTTGTATTTCCTTTTCTCATTCCTTCTGTCTAATTGATTCACTTCACACTTCATTGCATCGTATTTCATTGCGATGTACCACATCTGTCATGAGCCTGATTAATTCCACTTGAATTTTAACATATTCCTTCTTACATTTCAAAAACTTCACAAACGTTGTATGATCTGAAAATATTGGAATTATATCCTCTACATCGAAGTATAGGTCATCGGTATTAATGAAGTCAAGCAAGTTCCTTATCTCTCTCTTGGGGATACCCACAACATAATATCCTCCAAGTGAAAACAGCTGGTCAGCCTGCATTCTGTTTCCCATCACTCAGCCAACCTTCCACCCATGCTCCTGTGCACAGGCGCAGTGGGGAGGCAAGGGCCTAGTGGTATTATCACTAGACTGTTAACCCAGAGACCCAGATAATGTTCTTGGGACCCGGGTTCGAATCCCACCATGACAGATGGTGGAATTTGAATTCAATAAAATATCTGGCATTAGAAATCTATTGTCGATTGTTAGGAAAAACTCATCTCGTTCATTAATGCCCTTTAGGGAAGGAATCTGCCATCCTTACCTGGTCTGACCTACATGTGACTCCAGACCCAGAGAAATGTGGTTGATTCTTAACTGTCCTCTAGGCAATTATAAACGGGCAATAAATGCTGCTGAGGCAGCAACGCCCTTGTCCCATGAATGAATAAAGGAAAAAATAAAATTTCATTCCATGATATTCTAATTTGCTGACAAGTTTGTTATGCAATACATTATCAATGAAAGCAATGAGCAATAGAAAATGAAATCAGAGATGGAGTCTTACAGTAAAAAAAGTCATTGCTATACCTGCAGTGTACCCGCAAACTGCTTCCAACTTTGTTGAAATATCGTGTTAATGTGCACCTTACACAGCAGCAAACCTCTTTCCAGTTGTAATATAAATGTAAGTATTTGCACCAATCAGCACAACAGCTAATGCAGCTTTTGTTTCACCGCTTTTGATTAATTTAGGAACCGATCTGGCTGTGTATGCCTTGAAAATGATCTTGAAAGATCTTGAAAATGTTTTCTGTGACCATTTTTTTTTCAAAACTGTTCAAGGCTCTCCCACTTTGTTTTCAAACAACAACTAAAATGAAGTGAAAGCACATTGGCAAGAATCAGTCACAAGTCAAGTGTTGTCATTGTTCTTTTTTTTTGCCGATGTTCAGCACCAAATCATTTGTATCACAAGAGTCTGCAGTAGAAAAGCCATTTTGTCCATCATATAAGTTCCATACTGTAGATAATGCTGCAAAGTTAGGTCAGTTACTCAACTAGCTGTGACCTCAAAATGGGAAAGGTCTGACTTTATACATGACTCGAGTTCTGATTACTCAATCTTGATTTCCAAGTCTATCAATTTATCTTGTATTATATACAACAGGTCATCTTTTACGAGGACAGGAACTTCCAGGGTCAGCACTATGAGTGCAGCAGTGACTGTGCTGACCTGTCCCCTTACTTCAGCCGCTGTAACTCCATCCGTGTTGAGAGTGAC